AGGTTCGGATTGATATGTCCCAGCTGAAAGAGCGAGATCCACAATAAAATTTCTCCCACCACAATCTTTTTATTTATTTATTTATTTATTTATTTATTTATTTATTTATTTATTTATTTATTTATTTATTTATTTATTTATTTATTTATTGATTTATCTTACTTTGAAATTCTGTGATCCTGAGAGCGAGGTACTCAGTAAACATTCTCCCCACACAAGAATAGATCACAGGCATGTTGTGTTCTGGCTGCGATGGTGAAGTGTCTAACCGATGCACCACAGACGCTGGTCACCCAAGGAAGTTAATGTCCTTGTGGTCAGCCCAAAGACTTATCAGCATCTCAGCCGAATTGGAGTAAAGCAGTCTGCTGCCTGCCCACTATGTGACTACCCCTCAGAGACAGTGGAACATCATCTGTTCTGTTGTAGAAAACTAACCGATCTGAGGGGATGTTTTCTTCCCAAGCTACCCCACACATCTAACTGCCTCTACTCCTCAAGACAACAATTAAAACAGATATGCAGCTATTACAGAATGGCATCATGCAGAAGAGTTAACGCTCAGATGCTACTACGGATCGCTAACAACAGCAATAACAACCACAACAACAACCACAATATGTCCATTGTGCAGCGAGGAGCCCCAAGATATGGAGCACTGGCGACAGAGATGTCCGCCACGGAGGTCCGGCGGTGGCATCTCTTTGGGGAGGATTCAGGGAGGTTTAACTGCCTCACCCGCTACCCAAGGGAGGCGGTAGCCCTGGCGAAGAGCACGCTCTTCGGGGCTCCAAACATTTCAAACAGATAGTCTGCCACACACACACACACACACACACACACACACACACACACACACACACACACACACACACACACACACACACATACAACAACAACAACAACAACACCAACAACAAAACACCACACCAGCAACAGCAGCAACAACAAAATCCCACAACAACAATAAAAATCCCCACAACAACAATAACAAACACGGACGGTGGCTTTATTCTTTAGTTTTCATGACAACCCCAAAGACTTTTGTACAAACCTGGGATGACCTGCATACAAGCGTTCTCCTTGTCGGCGTTGTCCACCGCAAGCCACACACTGACCACATCTCCCTCCACACCCCAGTATCTGAAAACGAAAATATCAATTTATACAATATGATTGTAATATGTATAATATGATTGTCGTAGCTTTTTTGAGAGCATCCTGGCAAAGGAATGGATGGAAAACCATGATCGCCGATGTCTGTCGCAGATCTGGCATTGGATGATGATGATGATGATATCATCGTCATGAGTTTGTATGTGCGTATGTACGTATATGTGTATGAATGTGTTCATGTGTGTATAGGTGCCTGCGTGCGTGAGTATGTGTGTGCACGCGCATGAAATACTATGTGCCTATAAAATTGATTTGTAATTCCATATGTTTCATGTTAAGCGCATAGAGCATTGCACACGTGGATATAATGCGCAAAATAAATGCAACCCATTATTATTATTATTATTATTATTATTATTATTATTATTATTATTATAATCATCCGGTGCCTTGCCGACTGGCGTGGACGATCATGGACCTCCACTTCCATCTGTCTTGCGCTACTTGCGCTGCGGCAATGGTATCTGTTGTTCTTGCTGCTCCCAGCCATGTTGTCAACTTGTCCAGTCTCTTTTCCCTCACAATATGGTCGCTTTAAAACTCAAGTGGGCTAGATCTATCCCGAAAAATACTGTTTTGAGAAAATTGAAGGTAAAGTTTTTGCCCCTTGGTTCAGTTTCTTTAAAAGACAAGGAGAGTTTTCTCTATAACTAAATAAATCTACACACCAATGAAACCAAACTTCTCTTATAGATAGAGCAATGCCAACTTTTGGTGTGGCCCAAGATTTCTGACAACCCCCGAAATCTGGGTTAGCCCGCTTGTCTGTAAAGTGACTATATCATCATAATCATCATTAAAGTGACCATAATATATGGGAAGTAATAAATACCACGCTTTTAGTATGGTATGATTTAATTAAGTCTGAGTTACGTTACACTTACACACTCTCACGCCACTCTCTCTCTCTCTCTCTCTCTCTCTCTCTCTCTCTCTCTCTCTCTCTCTCTCCCCCCCCTCTCTCTCTCTCCCCCCCCTCTCTCTCTCTCCCCCCTCTCTCTCTCCCCCTCTCCATCCCCCCCTCTCTCTCTCCCTCTCCATCCCCCCTCTCTCTCTCTCCCTCTCCCCCCCTCTCTCTCTCTCTTTCTTCCTCACCCTTTCACTCTGTGCGTGTATTATAAAAGAATATACATTCTTAGTTATGGTATAAAGTAACTCTTAGTTACACCATACCGCCACTCAATCTCTCTCTCTCTCTGTCTGTCTGTCTGTCTGTCTGTCTGTCTGTCTGTCTGTCTGTCTGTCTGTCTGTCTGTCTGTCTGTCTGTCTGTCTGTCTGTCTGTCTGTCTGTCTGTCTCTCTCTCCCTCCCTCCCTCTCTCTCTCTCTCTCTCTCTCTCTCTCTCCCTCTCTCCCTCTCCCCCCCTCTCTCTCTCTCTCTCTCTCTCTCTCTCTCTCTC